CCTTGGCCCTTGGAGGGGTCGGACTCTAAGAGGTCCCCAGAATTAAAAGTTTCCAAGAAAAATGAAAGAGACAATCATTTTAAGGACGAACTAAATAAAATAAAATAGGACAAACAAATCGAAATGAAAAAAAAAATATAATTTATCCATATTTATTTAGAATCCAACATTGTTAAGTAGTAGTTCAAAATAATTACCACTATTTGTCCTAAAAATTTAAAATTACACTTATTTTAAAATGGTCTATTTATTTTACCAAAATAATACTTATTTCTATATACCGTCCAATTTTCATTAATGGGAATTCAACTAACATTTTTGCATTATTATACCTAATATAATCATTATACAATTTAATCAAAAGTATTTATAATCTTATCCATGATTAAAGTGGAAACATCAATGAGTAGACAAAAAAAAATTATTGTTTGATTAAAGAAATGAATGAATAAACATATATATCTTGCTTGATCTGTTCTTGCTTTGACTTTCATAACCCAAAGAAAATATTTAAAAGTTATTTTGTTAATCAGACAAATCTATTTCTTTATCTTCTGTGGATTTTGATGTTGATAGCTTACTTCTTTTGGCTTGTATTACGTATTATTTGGTAATATATTATATTATTTTTATACTGTAGTATTTTGATAAATATAATATTTAGATTGTAACATTTTCATTGCATAATGATACATATATATAATTTACATGATAGGTCTACGAAAAAAAGTAAGGTATGAGGTAGAGCTATTATGAGAAAGTAGAATAAAAGATGAAATTTAATTATTAAATAATAAATAAAATTAAAACTAAAAATATATTTACGTAACGACATAAGCACACAAAAATTGATTATTATATTTATCTAACAATACAATGAAATTTAAGTAGCAATCAAAATAAATATATTATTAAGATACAATGCAACGGGTAACAATGTCAATCGTCCAAGCAAAGCGTAATGTATTATACTGAATGTACCATAAATAGTTCAAAAATATTTTTTTATTTAATAAAAGAATATTTTATGCGGGTTTTAAATCTAAAATTACCTTTTATAACAGAAATAACAATTGATAACTTATTTAATCAAACAAATGACCTTTATCTCAGTAGTTCATATTCACGATTCTTCCAATTGTTTGAAATAATTATATTTTATCTAACTAATTAATAATTTTATATTAAATTTTAAGTCAAATAACCTAGACACATGTTACGTTTTTAGATACCAGGTTCACTGAAATAAGGAGAGATGTGAGCGAGAACAGGAGTGAGATGGGCGAAATTTGTCTATGTATCCTAAACATGTGCTAATCACATTAGATATATAATTATAGAATGATTTGTATGTATTTGGAGTACCACATACGCGAGTAAGACAGGAGAGTGAAAAATAAAAAAGGGAATAATGCGAGGAGATTTGTGTATGTATCAATATTTGTCTATTAGAATCCACTTAAATATAATGTATCTAAAAGAAATTAATAAACCTACTATGTCCCCTTTGCATGTACAAGGTTTTGATCTTCTTGAAGGTGACCTTGGAACTGTTGGATCCAAAATTTGTTGGACCTATACCCTTGGTAAGCTAAATATTTAAAAATCATAATTTTTATATATATTTATCAACCCAATCTGCTTTTTTCAACAGATTTTATCTCTTAAAAGAGTCAACCTAAGCAACTTAGCTGATCAGGGTCAAGCCAACTTAAGTCCCAGGGATGAGCAGTTAGTTCAGGAATCAAAAGATAGAAGCAAATACAGAAGTCATACGATCAACATCATGAAAAACAAAGCATACAAGCCAATATTGGTTACTAAGGGGCTAGGCTAGTGTCTGCTAGTTTGTCGTGTAAAAGATTTATCAGGCCAACCTTTTTTTTTGATCAAGTAAGTTGTTTTATTAGTGGCATCTAGAAGATGCAAAGAGTATATAAGTAGATAAGCTAGGCCCATTACATGGTACAAGTTAGGACTTGGGAACAAGCCACAACCAATATATCTAGAAAGGACCTCACATGACTATGTATAGTCTAGAGTTAAAGAGCTACAGAATATAAGAAAGCAGTATAAGTATTCACACATGACTGGCTGGAACAACAAAATAGACTGAACAAACATTTAGCCTTGAGTTATCAGGGCCCAATCTAGCATACCAATAATTATCTTAACAATCTGTCCAGTGACAGACTGTTTTATAAGTTACAGGCTGCCTCCGTTCTGCAAGCACAGATCAATATTTATGAGCACACATGCAAAAACACACACACACATAGAGAGAGAGGACACCTGTACAATAGAAGAATGGAGGTAAAAATTCTGAGGCATAATACTTGCTCCAAGAAGACTCATCAGTGCAAATGCACTATCTCCACTAAACTTATTCAGCATACTACCAATGGAGAATGGAGTTTCAGATTACGTTATGACCACTCCAAAAACATAAGAGAGCAGTACAGAGCTTGCCCAGCCAATACATAACAATTTTGAACTGCCATTGTCCTAGATATAGAATTTTGAAATCATTATTATTTATGAGAGACTAGGACTACATGACAAGAATCTGAGATAATTCAAGATGCCAATAACAGAAAGTCCACAAGGATAGTTAGTACTTAGTAGTAAGACTTACAAAGAGATAAGCAAGCAGTGGAAACAAAATGGCACTGGTTGCAGTCAGGAAAACACAGCTAAACAGGTCAATTCCACACACAACATCTGCAGTGCCCAAAACCTATGAGAATCAAGTGGTCGTATGTTGATGCGCTAGAAAAGGTCATAATCTTTGAAGCCAGAGTGTACACAAAATGAAATAGTGAAATTACTTTTGTGAGGTCCCAAAGCAGTCATCGAAACCTCAGCTTGAATTCCTAGGAATATGCATGTAACTTTGTCATATTCTTCACTGCAAATCTTTGACACCATCAAGGACAACAAAGTTATTATACATCCCCAGTTAAACAAAATACAAGATGTGCACAAGCTGGCCCAAACACCAGGTTAGCCAAAAAAAAAAAACTGTCCTTGCTATGGGTGTTCTAGATGAAACATACAAGAGCAGGAGAATCAATGTCCATGCATGTTGGATTTACTAAGATTCATCACTACTTAGATACACAATCAAAAGTTAAATTCCAATGAAAGAACACTACCTGCACAAGATCTCGGTCTGTAACTAAGGCTATACAAGCAGACAGATACTGGCACAGAATGACAGCAAAATTGAACAAGAGTACTAGCATGACCAAATCAAACCCAAAAACTCCTCCATCAACCATTGCAACTCATTTCCCAGGAACAACATACCCAAGTGCAATCGGCAGCATTGGCACAGAAGCAGAAAGTACTCGCTGAAGCATGCTGGGCTGCCTATATTCTCTAGACGGAGTTTCAGACTCCATAATTTGATTTAAATAGTTAGCAAGCCCAAAGATCGCAGTAAACTAGCACTACATCAAGCAACCCGTTTGACATGAACAAGCTCAATATTACAATCCAACCAGTGAAGTTCCAAGTACCGTTCACACAGCTTTTCTAGTTAGCAGCTGTAGCTCAATGTAGCATGGGTAGAACTGGATATCAAAACCCCTCGTAATCTCTGGAGAATTTTGAGCAAGTTTGCACCCAAAAACAATGGACATAAAGAACTTTACAAAAACAATTTATTAAGAGTCTGCTAAAATCAACCAACTCCGAACAAGAAATTTGAGAAGTGCGCCTTATAAAGATGGAAGTCTTTTCGAATTGTTAAATCCACCACATTAACACCTTACCGATTCTGATTTCTGAATTGAGTTAAATACCAAAACTTCATGCTCCACTTTGAAAGAACCATCTTTTGCTGTTCTAATCTAACCTGATCGAGCAATGACAATGTGTCCTGAAATGTCAGCAACAAATTAAAAGGCCAGTACTATAAGACACATTGGCTGCTGAATTCATGTTGCCACTGACTATGAAAACAATGGTAAAAAAATGGTCCTGACACCTTGAAAGCTCTGTTGATTCCTTACATTACTGCAGAAAAGAATTTATATACATAGAGGTAAAGACGAGACAGAATGTCACTAACACAAGTAGCAACTTATTTCTAATCGAAACCATACACATAACATGAAAGATGGAAATTTCTAATTTCAATATCCAAAAACAAATGCATCCACTGGTAAATGTCATGTTCATAGATTGAAGGAAGAGGTTCCCCAATCCGACCTTCAAAGTCTTGTGAGGAATAAAAATCACTTTTTTAACTGACGGAAATACCCCTCCTGGTATGTGTGTGTATATATAGAAAAAAACCCTAAAAGATAAAGAGAAACCTGAAACCCTAGCTGCTGCTGCTACCATTTGAGACGATGGCAATAAAGATGCCCAAGTGTACGTGCTCCCATCGTCGCCATGCCCATCTAAATTTAGCTCGTAGAAAAGCCAACAAGTCCATTCTTAAGAGAATAAAAGCTAATCTTCTTAAGTTTAGCAATGGAGAAGAAGAAGAAGCTATCAAAAAATTCAATCTTTCCAGATGCCAAAATCAAATTTGCAAAGGTATCCCCTATTTCTTTCTTTTTTTCTTTCTGCCATGTGTGTGTTTTCATTTGGCTGAATTTCAGGGAAGAGCCACCAGATGGAGATTCATCAGGTCACTTCTCACTTCAATATACTTTTATTTGTACATACAATTTGAACATAAAAAACTACCATTCTGTTTGTTTTTAAATAGTTGTTCTTCATTTTGATATACTCCCATGTATTGTCCAATCTAGGTCCCAACAATTCATTTCCAAGACGAAATAATGATGGACATCCTCCGCAGGTTACCTATGCGCTCTATTCTTCGGTTCAAATGTGTTTCAAAATTTTGGAAATCATTAATTGACGATACTTACTTTAAGAGGACACATTATATTCATAACAGGGATAACCAAAATTCCAAAAAAATTCTTATTGCCGAAAGGTTAGTTAACAAGGATGAAACCTTTAGCTTCTATACTTCCTCTTTATCGATGGTTGAGGATAAACAAAAGCTTGATTGGCCTACAAGCTGCAATCCAGTGGATGCCAGAATATTTTGTTCTTGTGATGGATTGGTTCTTACTCGTGTTTGTTCCAAAATGTTCGATGAAGAACTTTTGTTGTGGAACCCGTCTACAAGAGAATCAATACTACTTCCCCATCCAGAATATCGAATAATGACTTATGTATTTGGATTGGAATATGATGCAACTAGTGAAGGCTATAAGATCCTTGCAGTTAAACTCAATGGAAAAAAAAGTATCAATATTTCGATTGAATTTCTCTCTATAAAAAGGAACAGTTCCTGGAGAAGAATTGATTATCCTACTGACATTCAGCGGGTTCGTGGTTTTAGGGATTGTGGTACGGATAATTTGGCTTTTCTACATGGAGCATTTCATTGGCTAGGTAAGTCAACTTCTGGATATTATACTACGGTTTCATTAAATATTTCAAATGAGGTGTATGGAGAGGTACCGTTATTGAAGCAAATGTATGATCTATGTCCCCTGTACTTCTTCTTCGATCACGGTGTTTCAGTATTGAGAGGAATGCTTTGCTTTTATTCTACATATAACAAGATATCGAGGAGCACTAATGGCATTTTTAATTTGTGGGTAATGAAGGACTATGGTGTCAGGGAATCTTGGACTAACTTTATTAAAATACGAGATACCGATCTTTTTCTTTCAGCCCGACCAGTATATATGTTTGCGGATTGTCAAGTGTTACTGCACTTCCAACGTTTTGGATATTTTAGTTCTAATTTCACGACAAGTGGAAGACCATTTGATTTATGCCCTGAATGTGATACTACTAAGCGAGGAATTGTTTATGCAGAGAGCTTCATTTCACCTACTTCACTGCTTACTTAGTATTTGCATATGTTTTCTTCCGTTGAATTTATTTATTTGGGTTTCTTAATGTGTTTGCATTTTCTCCAAAGGATGCACTTTTTTGTTATTTTATGATTTGGCTATGCGTGTCACAGACTCACCAAACCACTTATTTGGCAAATGTATTTGCATTGGTGCAAATTCACTAATACTTGTGTTAAAAATTTCCCAGAAAGCAGGAGGGGAAGTTTATTATAAGGTGCAATTGTATTCATCTTTAGAATACAAATTGGTTAGACGAGACATAGTAATATAGAGAGAGGCTGACGATCCTATCTGCTCAGTGAATTAATTGGACAAATCACTTATCGATAATATCGTTACGATACAATACATTGTTGAAGTAACACGAACAACCATATGAACGTTCACATATGGAGATTTCATCATAACAAAAACACTTGATCGTTATAACATCACAGGGCAGTTTGCCCAAAAATAGCAAACATTGTTGGAAAAGAACATATATATAGACGGGGCTTGTCGCTTAGCGATCCATCTGCTATTACAACAAAGAATACAAAAAAAAAAAAGCGGAAAAAAACAACTTCAAGTGTAATAAACAATGAAAATAAGTTTCGAGCTATACAAACTAATTTTTCTTGATAAGTATCCTTGTTTAGTTCCCTTTGCCTTCATCTTCATTCAAGATACGATTGCGGAAATCATTGACCATGAGAGGAAGCCCCTCTTGCAACGATATTTTTGGTTCCCAGTTTAGTAGTTCCTTTGCTTTGCTAATATCAGGTTTCCTCTTGTGAGGATCATCAGCAGTGTTGGCTTTCAACTCAATAGTGGCACTGGGATCAATCACTTCTTTCACCACCTGTTTTGTTTCATAACATATCTTAGCACACAAAACTAGATAGATATATCTATATGTTGATTAGATGTTTAAGACATTTCCTGGCTCTAAGATAACCACATGAAGTACAACATATGAACAAATATCGAGTAAAGCAACCAAAGCTTCTGTACGAACATATTTGTAGACATGTACATATGCGTAAATAATCATAACTTACCCCAGCAAGCTCCAACATGGTAAATTCTCTTGGAAGTTGAAAGGGCCAATGTGCTCACCCTCCATGAGGGCCACTAATCCATCAACCTTTAATCAAAATGAAGCTAATTATCTTCAATATGGGTCTTCCAAGCTACTTCTTTAGATCTCACATTGATCAGATACACACATACAACTCTCCAATCAGAACAAATAAGAGACCAAAAAAAAAAAGCTTTTGATGAACATTCGAGTTAATGTAAAGAGTAAGAATGGCTTTAATCTCAAAACTAGCTGGAATGGCCTATATGAATTATTTTCTTCCAATTTGTGCTTCACTTGGCAGATTCCACTCGTAAGCCTGTTGAGACAAGTCCCCTCGACGTGATTTTAGGTCCATCGCATTCCCATTTTGCTGCCTCCAACTATCATATAGTCATATCTACTGACCGAGCAAGCCAAACCTTCTCAGGTGAACTTCAGTCATTTTATCATTCATGTATGCAACTCCCACCCAATGTAGAGTGTGATTATTTCAAATCTCATCCATTCTTGAACTGCATTTCTATCTTAACATTTGACACTTATCTTGTAGATATGTTGGGAGTTTAGAGGTTCAATATTTGAACTAACATAACATTGTTCTTAAGCTTGACATTTCACTCCCGTAACATCACTGGCCTATTATTTTTATAGTGTATTACATATGCAACTATCGTGCCATTTTCTGGGATCACTGTGCCTGGCTATCCAATCATCTACATTAAGGCACCAAAATCTCATATATCTCACTTCACCTTTAATTTTCCTAGAGCTGAACTTACATTATTCTATCTTGTATATTCTCTACAGTGTACTTTAGATGGAATTTGAAACCTCATGGTGCTTAACCCACTTCATTAACCACTAGGTCACTAAGATTTTGAAGTGCATTAACCACTAAAATTTTGAAGTTCATTGATAGGGAGAACATACATCTTCTAATTCTAGCAAAACATTTTCTCTTTTCAATGAACCTCTTGCCCAGTTTTAGAATTTTACTGCACAATATTGTGATGCAAACTTAACAAAAAGCAAGATGTAGAGCTAGAAAAGGACGTAGGTTCCAACCAGGAGAGCAAAGCCAGTTGCTCATAATATGAGTTACAACTTCTACAGTTATTTGTCATCTAAACGATTGGAAGGATTTGCATATGAAGTTCAAAACACAGGCAATATATATTTACGTCCCAAAGAACTCAAGGCTAATTTCACTACCATCCATACTAACAGTGAACAAATCACTTCAAGAAAACTAACACCTGCTAAAGGCTATAGCTACCCTTGACCACCTTCAACCAATAAAATATACTGCAATCTGACGTCCATATATACATAGGTAAAAGTAACACGCTAAGGCAGAGACAAGGAATGAGGGAAAAGAACTCATCAAAAGATGAAGTACCAGATCAGAGACGAATTGAAAACTATGAGTTTGCTTTCCATCGCCATATACTGTCCTTGGTTGCTTGCGGATGGCCTGCAAACATGGTTTTAGAATAACAATAAATACCAATACAAGCTCAAGTTAAACTAAATGATATGATGGGCTTATTAAACAAATCTGAGCAACAAAGTTGCTGACAACACGTCCATCATCTAAACACATATGAGGTCCGTATGTATTGAAAATCCGAGCAATACGAACCTGCATACAAAGATTCAGAAAAGGAGCTGTAAAGTTCAAGGTAATCCATGAGAAACACACAGGTTGACATTACCACTTACTGTACCACTTAAGACTCTGTTTGACTTTTGCAAGTGGAAAGGGGGAGAGCAAAATACATAATTTGAACTCAGACTGAATCTTATTGAAAAGAAAGAAACGACTTGCTACTCCGCTACCTATATTCCATGCTCTCTCATCATTTTGTTCAACTTCTCAAAATCAAGAACTGGCAAAAAGATAGGTTTCAAGTTGAACTTTCCAAATTTTCCTATAGAAACACTACAATTAAGTTGGATGGATAGCTACACACCTTCGTTTTTTTAGATCATAAATGCGAGCAAGCATATCACATGTTAACATACGATTCTGATGTACGTGTAGGCAACTTCCTAGGACCTAGTTTTAGAATAAGCCATTTTACCTGTATGTATTACTTCCCTCCAACTTGAACTTTTCATTTAAAGAAGTACCATTCATCACAGAAAAACTCAACACCATAAATTTATCTTCTGTTACTGATAATACACGTTTACTAGAGTTGTACAGTGGCTCGCAGAGTAGTAAATGGTTGTTGAGTTAGTTATTATTACGGTGTAGAGGGGATTGTTGTTGGTCCCTTATAGTTTTGTTATGACTTTATTTAGTTGCATTTAAGTCTTTTTCAGTCTTTGGGTATATTAGCTGTAACAAGATTCGGGAAAAGTATGAAGGAAAAAAGCATTAGCTATTTGCTTCTTCGCAATTCTTTTTCTCTTCTTAGCTGTTAATTCTTTGCGAACCCTTGCGATTGCGAATTTGCATCAGTTACTTGACATTGCTTTCTATGTTTCAAGAATGTTTCTGCTCAATCTCAAGAAGGGTATTAAATAACTACTCCTACACTCCCCAATTTCTAAGTCCAGACATTCTTGAAACATAAAAAGCATTGGCAAGTAACTGATGCAAATTCACACAGCATTTCAGCAAAGGAGGCTGCATTTAGTTTTTACAGCACACAACAAAGCAGATAATTGTGCACAGAAGCACTCAGCTCCATCACATGTTAAACTTATTTCTATGTGCACAAGCTGGCCCAAACACCAGGTTAGCCAAAAAAAAAAAAAGAACTGTCCTTGCTATGGGTGTTCAAGATGAAACATACAAGAGCAGGAGAATCAATGTCCATGCATGTTGGATTTACTAAGATTCATCACTACTTAGACATACAATCAAAAGTTAAATTCCAATGAAAGAACACTACCTGCACAAGATCTCGGTCTGTAACTAAGGCTATACAAGCAGACAGATACTGGCACAGAATGACAGCAAAATTGAACAAGAGTACTCGCATGACCAAATCGGACTTCTCCATCAACCATTACAGCCCATTTCCCAGGATCAATATAGCCAACTACAATCGGCAGCATTGGCACAGGATCAGAAAGTACTAGCTGAAGCATGCTGGGCTACCTATATTCTCTAGACGGAGTTTCAAGACTCCATAATTTGATTTAAATAGTAAGCAAGCCCAGAGACCTCAGTAAACTAGCACTACAGCAAGCAACCCGTTTGACATGATCAAGCTCAATAATACAATCCAAACCAGTGAAGTTCCAAGTTCCGACCACACAGCTTTTCTATGTAGCATGGGTAGAACTGGATATCAAAACCGCTCGTAATCTCTGGAGAATTTTGAGAAAGTGTGCACCCAAAAACAATGGACATGAAGAACTTTACAAAAGCAATTTATTAAGAGTCTGCTAAAATCAACCAACTCAGAACAAGAAATCTGACAAGTGCGCCTTATAAAGATGGAAGTCTTTTCGAATTGTTAAATCCACCAACTCCAACCAATCACAAAATTAACATCTTTGCATCCGTCAATAAACCGATTACCGATTCTGATTTCTGAATTGAGTTAAATACCAAAACTTCAGTCAATTAGACAGAACCATCTTTTGCTGTTCTAATCTAACCTGATCGAGTAATGACATTATGTCCTGAAATGTCAGCAACAAAAGGCCAGTACTATAAGACACATTGGCTGCTAAATTCATGTTAGACCAGGAAAATGCCACTGAATATGAAAACAATGGCAAAAAAATGGTCCTCACACCTTGAAAGCTCTGTTGATTCCTTACTTTACTGCAGAAAAGAATTTATATAGAGAGAGGTAAAGACGAGACAGTCTAGTATTGATGTCACCAACACAAGTAGCAAATTATTTTTAAGCTCTGATAATTAATGAGACTAATTGAAACCATACAAATAACATGAAACATGGAAATTTCTATCTAGAAAAAGTTATATGATACATGCCAAATTTGAGTCTTTATGTATATCAAAATGGTAGCATAACAAAGGACATCAAACATTCAAAAAGTGTCTGCATCGACCCAGAAATGATGAGGCATAGAGCCATTCCTCTAGTAGTAACAAGAAATTGCAAAAGCTATGGCAATTTTCTTCTTTTCTGCCCAGACCCCTAAATTACCAGGAAAACCTCTTTGCACATTTTAGTCATGTTATCACAGCATTTTAAAAACTGATTATGCAGGGAAATGCTCTCATATTGAAGAATAGTATCCCAGGTCCCAATCGCTTCGCTTCAGAATTATATCTTAATCAAAACAAAGTTCTTCACTATTATTACCCTCTCTTATGGTAGTAGGGGGCCATCAGCAAAAAGTGCAACTACAGCAAGAGTCATGGCCACATCTGGCATTTTGCTCATGTTCATGTCATTGGCACGCAATGTTTCCTTCCAGAAGAGTTCCTTTGAGGTCCTTTAACCGTGACACTGTTCTCCGTCCATGTAACTTCTGCCCCCATCTTCTCGAGGACCTCAGCAAACTTAAAATCCCCCTTCACAAAGGAAACATAATGTCCAAAGTAAGTCCCTTGTTAGATAATCACCTTATGCAGTCACAGACTAAGATGTAGGCCATGCGCTGTGCAACTCTTAATTTTTAGTACTTCCACAAAATTAAGCTAGTGAATAGAAGAGAAATAGGATGTATTATGGTGCTGTCACAAATTCCAAGCACAAAATGGAAAAGTATAGAATGTGATTGCCCCCAAGGTCTTAATGGCATGAGAAATACCTGTAAACTGCTTGTTCCACAACCTTCAACAGTGACAGTTCCACCCATGACAGCTGCCCCCCCCCCCCAAAAAAATAGCTAGCACTTGAGGCATCTCCTTCCACAAATGCTTTCCCAGGAGACCTATGGTATCCTCATAACTGTTAGCTTCATCGATCGGTGGAACCAGATTATCAAAGACACAGTGTGAAAGCAGACTCACTTGTACTTCTGACCTCCTTTTACCAAATATCTATTCCAGCAACTACTGTGTTCCACAAAGACACCAAATCGCTCCATCAACTTCAGTGTCATTTCAACATAAGGCACAGATATCAGTTTGTCAATTATTTCAATCTCCACATCTCCTAGAGCCAGGGGAGCATCCATAAGCAGTACAGTCAGGTATTGGCTGCTGATGGATCCAGAGAGCTTTAACTGATAGATATAAAGGGAGTATAACTTAGCAAGAACTCAAAAGCGGTTATATTACATCTTTCGATACCAGGAAAGAAGCTGAGAAAGTAAACCACAGATAACATATGAACATGATTCATCAATACAAAGTTAAAAAAATATTGCAGAATCAAATGTATCTTCTTTAATTTAGTAGCAGAGACAAGGAATGTGGAATATATCAAATGGAGGGACAAGAGACTTTTGGAGGAAACAAAGACAAAATAAAGGAGGACAGCAAGTTACTTGAAAAATTGGAAGTCCGCATTCCACATTTCGGACTTCTTGTGAAGTGGATAGATACTAGAGTTGCATTGTTTCTAATCATACGAGCTTCATACATGCAAGAAAAATATTTGACTATAAACTAATTTACTCTATGGCACGAGGGAGAGAGCACATGCATGTTTTTAGACTTAAAGGTCAGTAGTTCTAAGAAAAGATATAAAATGAAATAAAATATAGGTAAATCAGATGGAGATAAAAAGTATATTTGTTACGACACAATCAAATGAAATATAAGTGTCCCCTCTCTTACAGCTGAAGCTTTTTAAAGAGGCTATGCACATAATTCAAGATATTACCAGAACAAGGTTGAGGTTTCAAGTCTCACCACCACATTTTTCCATCTGTAACTCGTCGTATTTCAACTGATGAGAGGGATCTTTTGGCCTTACTTCTCAAGATCTAAATTAAGATAATGTGTGTCTTCTTGTCTCTTCTTTCTATGTAGAAGTTATCTCATAAAACATTTAATTTAGGACTATTATCACACAAATGTAAAACTACAATAAGATATAATTTTGTCAAATGAAAAACTTTGGAAGACGCTAAAGGAGAGAACTTACAAAGAAAATTTCAATATATTCACTCTCTGCCACAAACACACTAATGCTTCCTCATAACCAGCAGACTCTCAACCGCAGCACAACCGGAAATTCAACAAGTAATTATTATATAAAGCAAGATTAAATCTTCTCATCTGCCATAAATACATAAAAGTTAAACTTAGAAAGAAACAAACACGTCCAGTCAATAGTAAAAAGGAAGATTTTATTCGTATAAGAGTGGAACTACATGGAAAGAGTGGAATATACGCAAAGCTAAGTTTTGAAGCTACAAAATAGACTTGTATCTCTCTTTTTTCTCCTATGTCATTATTTACGTTCTAGCTAGGTAGCATGGACAATTTCTTCTTCTACAAGTACAATATGGATGACAAAGATGACGCCGACGAGGCCGACGTATGACACGCATATTATCTATCTCAGTATTCTGCCTCTGCAAACCTATTCGTGTCGATCTCCTCGGAAGTACCGGAGCTTGAGCAGCCAAGCGTACCGACCTCCGAGGAAGAGTTTGAACAGGTGGTGGAGGTGGTTGAGGTGGATCAGCATCATCAACCTCTAGAGCAGGCCCAGCTGCAGCAAATGAAAAATCTTGAGAAGGTAAAGTTTGAACTGATGGAGCTTGAACTGGCCGGATCAGCAGACTCATCCACATTAACAACACCTTCTACAATAGAATCATCAACCTCCAGAGCAGGCCCAGCTGCAGCAAATGAAAAATCTTGAGAAGGTGGAATTTGAAGAGTTGGAGCTTGAACTGCAGCTGGATCAACAGACTCATCAACAGTTGCAGCTGGATCAGCTGCAGCAAATGAAAAATCTTGAGAAAGATGAGTTTGAACAGATTGAACTTGATTTGGAGGAGAAGGCGGTGGAGGTGGAAGTGAAGCTGGAACAGCTACTAGATCAGGATAAGCTGCAAAAGATGAAGAACATAACTAGCAAAACTAGCAAGAACTAGCAAACTAGCAAAAACTAGCAAACTAGCAAAAACTAGCAGGAACAGTAGATTCGAAACATTTTTCGAATGATACCTTTAGTTGCTCCTTGAACAGGGATTAGGAGCAAAAGATGAACAACCTGCATTTTAAAAAAGAATCATTGTTAGGAAAAACTAGCAGAACTAGCAAGAACACTAGAAACGTTTTTCGAATGGGACCTGCATTACAAAAGGATCATTTTTAATGAAGAACTAGCAGGAACACTAGAAATGTTTAAATACTTAATTCCCCCAAAAAAACTTTATTCTCGTAAGGTTAACAAACAGTTTAATATTTGAAGTTGTTGTGAAATATAAATATCAAAGAGAAACTACACAAACTACTCTGCACTAGAAAGATATTCCAGCCTTGGAAAACACTACTAGACCACCGGAATTTTCTTTCAGTATAGAGGAAAAGCTCTTTTTCATTAGCGGGGATAAATCTTTCGAACTCAAGAATACAGGGGATACACATTTCAGCTGGTTTTCATTGATAGAAAGAGGCAGGAGATTTACAAGTAAGGTAATCTTAGATCCACACAATCTAAGATGGGTATGTGAGATCCTAATACAAGCTTCAAAGGGTTATGGACAACTATACAGAAGGTGGGGTAGAAAACAACAGCACAACCTATACAGAGTCTATCAAAACTTCAACGTATATGGCAGATTCGTTCGCATTGAAGTATGGCATGGCTCCTCTAAATCTGCAGTAATCATTCTGGAGATGAGCTTTAACAGTGGGTGGACAGATTTCGCGACTAAAATCATTCGATTTCTGGGGAAATTCAACAAGTCAGGGCCACCACCAATACCGTCTCCATTGACAAAATCCTATCGGGCTGCTGCTAGCATAGTAAGCTGGCCAGAATTCAGCCAACCAGCAAGCATAGGTGGAGTCAATGACAACCATCCGCTCCACAGAAGCTTAGTCGGCACTTTCAATGACCCTTTTCATCAGCCCGAACCCTGAGTTAATTAAAAAATGGTTCATCTCTAGATGGAAAGTCACTGCTGGTTTCAAAGCCACGCCCCTTGACCACAATAAATTCCTCTTCGAGTTCCCTTCGAGACAAGAAGCAATAAGAGTTAAAGCTGGGGAATGGTTCTGGAACGGAAGGCACCTCAGCCTGTCGTGGTGGTCAAAAAATATTAACTCTCAGACAGGGGAGCCACCGGAAAATATCTGGCTAAAAGTATTTGGGATTCCCTTAAATGCTTGGACCATGGACACTTTCGAGCATATAGGGGATAGATGCGGAGGCTTTATTGGAGTTGACGAAGATACAAAGAACAGATCCCACTTTCTCTGGGCTCGTATCTGTGTCAAAAATTCAGTCATGAAATTCCCGGCGAGTTTGAATTTTGAATTTGCTGGCTGGTTGTTCGATTTGGCATTAATTTCGGAGATCCGTTCCTCTCCATTACCCACTGGACAAAACCCTGAGTTGGCTAGGGTTGGAAAGCTGCTGGGAACAGAGTCCCATTCAGTCCCACGTGATATCAGATTTAAAAATCCACGTGAGGAATCTGTGGACAAAAGAAAGGGCAAGTCTTATTTAAATTTCAATATAAATGACCGGCCCAACACTACCATGGGAGAACTTATTTAGACTGGAATAACGATTATTATTCCAAAGGCCCAAACAAAAGGAAGCAACACAAGGAACATAATAGAATGCAATCATGGAGAGCCTCCATAGCCAAAGCCAACTTCCTTCAGTGCAACATCCTTTGATGCTTTGGATTTGGAAGTTTAAGCTACTACACCGGAATTCGGAGCATAATGCAGGAGTTTTTTCACAGCTTGAAGCGGATGATGAAGCAGAAATATCTCCTCCTTCTTTGGGCATATACACACAAGATCCTATTCCCATCTCAGGGTACGATTCCAGTTCCAGTCTCTCTTCCCAGTCGCTCAACAGTTTTCTGCCTCTACCATGGCATAATGATCATTCACCACAAACAGTTGATTCACTTACTGTTGTGGAAACATCAAAATGGACCAAATTTACTATGATGAAGGCTTGCAAAGTGCTTGGGGTAAATGTTTCAGGTTTCGAGCATGAAATTCTGGATATTATATTAAGAATGGAGGAAAAGAGGAAAACTCAGATTCTTGAACAAGGGAAGAAGTCTGGGGACGCTAAAAAAGGGAAAAGCAAAGCAACAAATGAACTTCAAAAACTGGATTGAGGTCTCCAAGATGGAAGTGGAAAGAAAGATAGGGGCAGGCACCACAACTCTCATTCCAGATGAGAGTTAAAGTACTCAATTGGAATGTACAGGGTCTCAATAATAAAGATAAAAGAAGTACTTTGAAATTTCTTATCCAAAAGTGGGGAGAAGACATTGTTTGTTTACAGGAAACCAAAATAGAGTCTTGGAATCCATCTCTAATCAGACAAATATGGGGGAATAACTGTCTCTCCTGGGCAGAATTCAAAGCAATTGGCACCAAAGGTGGACTGTTAATTTTATGGGACAAAAGAGCTTGGAATTGTGTTGAGTTGGAGGCAGGGGCCTTCTCCCTGTCATGTAGATTTGAGAGCACCTCTGAAGACTTCAAATGGGTTTTCACCGGAGTATATGGACCTTTGGTTGGAGTTAGCATCAATCAGGGGGTTGTGGTCTGATCTATGGGCCATAGGAGGAGACTTCAATGTGTGTAGATTCGAGGATGAAAGGCTAAACTGTAATAGAAGATCCAGTGCTATGCAGGGTTTCTCCAATACCATTTTGGATCTTGAATTGATTGATCCTCCTCTCCAAGGAGCACAGTTCACCTGGTCAAGAGGGGAGGAGACACTCCAAGCCTAAAGAATTGACAGGTTTCTTTATTCATCAGAATGGAGTGAGATGTTCAGGGCTATCAAACAATACACAATGCCAAGAGTATTTTCAGATCATAAACCCATCATCCTGGAAAGTGGAGATTGGGAGGCATCACCATCCTACTTCAAATTTGAAAACATGTGGCTTCAAGCAGAAGGCTTCATTGATATGATAAAAGGATGGTGGCAGTCCTACAGCATTCAGGGAACCACAGACTTTGTTCTGTTGCAGAAACTCAGAAACCTAAAGAAAGATATTTCTAAGTAGAACAGGGAGGTATATGGAAAAATTGAAAGCCAAAGAACTAAAGCTCTTTTGGAATTAGGGAAGTTGGATCATTTAGCTGAACTCAGAACCCTTTCAACACAAGAGAAAACACAGTCCTTCAATCTGAAACTGCAACTTCAACAGATTGCAACAGCTGAAGAGATCTCATGGAGGCAAAAATCTAGATGCTTATGGCTTAAAGAGGGGGACAAGAACACAAAGTTCTTTCAGAGAATGACCAATTCATATAGAAGGGGTAATTCCATTGACAGACTGAGAATAGGAGATGAACTGATTGAAGATAAAGGAAGGATACAGAATGGCATTGTGGAGTATTATCAACAAATAGACAAGGAAGCTGAATCCTGGAGACCCTCAGCTGTTTTTGAGAACATGTCCACCCTAAGTATAGAAGAAAAGGAGGAACTTGAACTTCCTTCCACTGAACTGGAGATCCCTAATGCTCTTATGGCTTGTGCCCCTGACAAAGCCCCAGGACCTGATAGTTATACCATGGCTTTCTTCCAAAAATCATGGTGCTTCATTAAAGAGGATATACTAGCAACTTTCAATTTCTTTCACCAGAATTGCCAAATGGTGAGGTCTTGTAATGCTTCTTTTATTGCTCTAATCCCAAAGAAGAAAGGTGTTGTAGAGCTTAAAGACTATCGGCCTATAAGCCTCATAGGTAGTGTCTATAAGTTGTTGGCTAAAATCCTAGCAGAGAGGATGAAAAGGGTGATGAATTTTTTAGTCTCGGGGCAGCAGAGTGCTTTTTTAAAGAATAGGCAAATAACTTATGAATCCTTGATTGCTAATGAGGGGCTAGACTGGAGAATCAAGAGTGGTGAGTCTGGGATCTTATGTAAATTGGACATAGAGAAAGCTTTTGACCAACTTAACTGGGCCTATCTAGTTAATATACTGAAACAAATAAAATTTGGTGATAGGTGGATAAGATGGATATATTTCTGCATTTCAACAGTGAAGTTCTCAGTTTTGATCAACAAAAGTCCAGTTGGATTTTTCTCTACTCAAAAGGGGTTGAGGCAGGGGGATCCACTCTCTCCTTATCTATTCATTCTGGCTATGGAAGGACTATCTCAGTTACTAGCTAGGGCTAAAGAACTTCAATGGATTCAAGGATTTCAAGTAGGCAGCAATCCAGCCACCACTGTCAATGTATCTCACCTTCTTTATGCGGATGACACTCTCATTTTTTGTGGAGCTGACAGGCAACAAGTCTCCAATCTAAACACCACCCTTATAGTTTTTGAAGCCATCTCCGGACTCTATATTAACATGCTCAAAAGTGCTATATATCCGGTTAATCAGGTGGACAATCTAGAGGAATTTGCTGGCATACTTAGTTGCAAAATAGGATTGTTACCCACCACCTATCTAGGTCTTCCCTTGGGGGCAAGTTTCAAATCTTCTGGAATTTGGAATGGAGTTATTGAAAAAAATAGAAAAGTGAGTTGCTACATGGAAAATGCAATACCTCTCTATGGGAGGTAGGCTCACTCTCATCAACAGTGTACTAGATAGTATTCCTACGTACTGCATGTCTCTATTTCCAATACCAGGTTCAATCTTCAAACAAATAGATAGGCTCAAAAGGAGATTTCTATGAGAAGGAAATAGTTTCACTCGCAAGTACTCTCTAGTTAAATGGAAATCGGTAACTCAACCTAAGTTTCAAGGAGGCTTGGGAATCAGAAATCTCCAACTTCACAACAAGAGCTTACTCATGAAGTGGCTCTGGAGATATGGACAGACTGAGGTTGGGTTTTGGAGAGACATCATCAAGGCTAAATATGGCATTCAAGAACACTGGTGTCCAATGGAAAGCACTGAACCCCATGGTGTTGGGGTCTGGAAACACATAAGCAATTTCAAAGATAATTTCTTTGAGGAAGTATCCTTCAAGGCTGGTAATGGACTCAAGATCAGATTTTGGCAAGACAGATGGCTTGCGAACTCTAGGCTAAAAGACTATTTCCCCTCCTTGTTCCAGATAGCCTCCAACAAAGAAGCAACTATAGCCCAGTACAGAGACAACAACCATTGGACACCTATTTTCAGAAGGAACTTCCAGGATTGGGAGATTAATGACCTCTTTTCCCTCTTAGAAACTCTGCAAAACACTACATTGGTGGTCGAAGATCAAGACAAGATTCTTTGGGTAATTCTAAGGAGAAGACCTACACTGTGAAAGAATGTTACAAAAAATTGAGCTCCCAGAATGGCATTCTACTAATTTGGCCTTGGAAACATGTCTGGAAAACTAGGCAACCCCTCAGAGTTTCTTGTTTAACCTGGACAGCCTTGAAGGAATCATGTCTAACACAAGACAACCTCAGGTAAAATAGCATAAAGTCGACTCAACAAGAACACCATCATACAGTTTTCGTATTTCACAGAGGATTTTTAAAATTCAATTCAAGAAATTCATCAACCTATTTTAGCAGAATGGTAAACATGATGATGCGATTAAAGGATCTTTTTACTTATCAAGTGAAAAATGAAAGATATTGAACAACGTTTTTTTCCCTTCGCTTCCTAGCAGGCATTTACTGTTATAATTCCAAATTTTAAGACGCAAAAGCAAATCTATCTAGAATGAACAACATGCGAATCATTGTTATGAAGAACTAGCAGGAACAGTAGAAACGTTTTTCGAATGGACCTGTTTTTGCTCCTTGAACAGGATCAGAATCAGGAGCAGAAGATGAACAACCTACATTTTAGAAAAGTATCATTGTTAGGAAGTACTAGCAGAACTAGCAGGAACACTGGAAACGTTATGAATAATTAGCAGAACAAGCAAGAACTAACAGGAACAGTGAAAAATAAAAAATATTAAACAATGTCTTTTTTCCCCTTAGCATCCTAACAGACTTTTACCGTTATAATACCAAATTTTAACACGCAAGCACGTCTATCTACAAAAAAATTTCGAATGTACCTGATATTTTTGTTTTTAGAAGATTATCTTTCCCAGGAGGCGGATCTTTTGAAGCTGCTCCTTGAACCGGAGCCGGAGCTTGAGCCGGAGCTTTTGAAGCTGCCAGAGCAGGAGCTTGAGCCGGAGCATTTGAAGCTGCTACTTGAACCGGAGTCGGAGCTTGAGCCGGAGCATTTGAAGCTGCTCCTTGAACTGGAGCCGGAGCTTGAGCCGGAGGTTTTGAAGTTGCTCCTTGAACCGGAGTCGGAGCTTGAGCCGGAGCATTTGAAGTTGCTCCTTGAACTGGAGCCGGAGCTTTTGAAGCTGCTCCTTCAACCGGAGTCGGAGCTTGAGCCGGAGCTTTTGAAGCTACTTCTTGAACCGGAGCCGGAGCTTTTGAAGCTACTTCTTGAACCGGAGCCGGAGCTTTTGAAGCTGCAGCAAGAGCTTGAGCCGGAGCATTTGAAGCTGCTACTTGAACCGGAGTCGGAGCTTGAGCCGGAGCATTTGAAGCTGCTACTTGAACCGGAGTCGGAGCTTGAGCCGGAACTTTTGAAGCTGCTCCTTGAACCGGAGTCGGAGCTTGAGCGGGAGGTTTTGAAGCTGCTCCTTCAACCGGAGTCGGAGCTTGAGCCGGAGCATTTGAAGCTACTCCTTGAACAGGATCCGCAGAAGAACCTCCAACATCAGCAGAAGCTTTTCCCCGAGCTTTTTCCACTCGATCTTTTTGATGAGCTCCGTTATCTGGAGGTAAATCCGGATCGGAATCGGAACCGGAACCGCAATCCGGCAGATCTCCATCCGGAATTGGATATCTAAATTAAAAAAAATATATATATAAATATATACATTAACATAAACAAAAAACTATATAATTATGTTCAAAACCTTACGCTGATTTCCCTGAACTGAATCTGTACAATTCATTAATTTTTTCAATATCTACTATTCTGAGACGTATCCAAACCTCCAAATCCACAGGGTCACTCGCATGTTTTTTTGTTACTACTTCTTTCAACAGGTTATACCCGTAATGACGGACCATTGTATCGAGTGTTTCTGCTACATAATATTTTTCAAAAATACAAGGAGCTACACACTGAATAATACCCAGTGTTTTACAAATTCCGCAAGCCATTGCTAATGGCTTCAAAATTTGACGGCTTCAGATTTCCCAGAATCTTTGGGACGAAAGAGTGAGTAAGGAATTGCTAATGGCTTCAAACTTCAGAATTTCTCAGAATTTTCGGGACGAAAGAATGAGCAAGGCATTGCTAATGGCTTCAAATTTTGACCTTCAGAATTCCCAGAAATTTTGGAACGAAAGGTGAACAAGGCATTGCTAATGGCTTCAAACTTCAGAATTTCCCAGAATTTTTGGGACGAAAGGGTGAGCAAGGCATTGCTAATGGCTTCAAACTTCAGAATTTTCGGGACGAAAGAATGAGCAAGGCATTGCTAATGGCTTTAAACTTCAGAATTTTCCAGAATTTTTGGGACGAAAGGATGGTATTAGCATATAGAGGAAGCTTTTTATTTTAATTTTTGTTCATACTTTTTGTTTTTATTAGGAACATTCTAGAAAAAATTCATAATTAGAGGAAACGGTTAAGGACTCGAAATTGCATTTAATTAATTAAAATTCATTTCAATAGGAAAATAGGGGTGGGGGAACTCAAAAAAATATATATGAGAAAATAGACAAATAGGTTTGCAAATCATTGAGATATGCAACATCTAGACAATAATTACTCATTAAACATCGTTAAGTTTCTATCACAATTTATTTTTAAATATATTTTATCAATCATATAAAATTATGAGATAATAAATATCACAAATATTTTACTGATCATACAAACTCAAACAATCTAAATTATTTAGCTTTCAAGTAAAAAGATGGGGAAAAAAAAAGATTGTGACAAAAAAGGGCATGAACCTTAATACATGAGGAAACAATTTGGTTGCTTATCTAATACTTAAAATTGGATCAATGATCGATATTAATAGTTCATTATAAATATATTTTTTTATTTTTTAAGTAACATAAATCAATAATTCATCAGCATTCTTCAAATTCAGTTGATTATATATGCTAAAGTATATAAAATAAGATGGAAAAACATACCTTTATCTACCAAAACTTCTAGTTGATGTTTGTTGTCAAGTTAAAACTCACATAAATAGAATGGGAAAGAGATGAAGTTAAGCATATGTTATAGAAACTTTGTAAGAAAAGAAAAGACAAGTGGAGAGTGATATAATGCAATAGAATGAAGAAGAAAAGAATGAAAAAGACATCAACTTTAATTCTAATGTCAGACCACAATACAATATTTAACTTTTTAAAAAATAATTCATCGATTCGATTAATCAAATTTTAATAATTTTTTTTTAAAAAAAGTCTTTGATTAAGAGTTGCGGGTGAACTATCAACCACCAAATTACATTGTTATTATCTCATCTTCGATTGTGGTCTAATATTTTGATGTCCTAAATATCAAATCACACAATAATAATTTATGATGATTAAATCCTACTCTTAGATATTAAGTAGTGTAGATAGAAGTAAATTTAGAATTTAAATATATAAAATTTGAAATATAAAATAGAATAATTTACTAATTTTCCAAAATAGATGATTTATATATATATATATATATATATATATATATATATATATATATATATATATTTTAAAAAACAATTAAGTTTTTATTGAACCTATAATGATGACAATAATTTCAACTAAAGCGAAGAAAATTCTTTATAGGAATATGATTGTCCTCTTGTAACATTCATCCTCTTTGATCTTTATAATCACTAGTGAAACTATTCGCGCTTCGCGCAATTTTAAAAAATATTTATAAGATAATAATATGAAATATGTAATATTTAGGTTAGTATCGAATGTATAAATAATATTAATATTTCTACTCGTCTGCGATATCATAGACTTTTTTAAAACATATAAAATATATTTATTTATTTTATATATATATATATATTAGAACAAAATATTCATCATGGTGAAATAAATGGAATAAGAGATAATATGTTGAAACAACAATATATTGTATTCGATTGAAAATATTTTATATGTTTTAATTTTCTATATCTTTTGTAAGAGTACTAATGTTCTATCTTTTGTAGCAATACTAATGTTCTGTTCAAACTCTGATTTCGGCCAGGGGTCCCG